TAAGGAGTTTTTTAAAATAGTGATGGGGACCCCACCACCACCCCAGCTACTAACTCAAAATTCCCTGGGAACCAACAAGAGAATGGCAATTTTAAAGGGTCTCCATATGACTATCTTGTAAGGCTGCTTGAGGAATTGCTATTCATACATTAGAACTCCTCCAGCATTTAGTACAATGCTGCTGAAGCAGCTGGTAAACAAACTGAACCCTTTACATTTGAAATCTTGGGAACCATGAGTTAAAATGATAAACGAGGGCTGAGGATTTAGCTCAGTAGTTCTACCACCTGCCTCCCAAGCCCAAGGACCTGAGTTTGAACCCTGATACCAAAAAAAAAAAAAAAAAAAAAAACAAAGAAAAAAAAAAAAAGACAAACCAAAGGGCAAGAGTGCCAATTGTCAAATATTTTCTTTGTGGGCAAATGGAGATCAAAGAGCCCTCCTAATGGAGGTGATATCTGGATGCCAGATGAAATAAGAAAAGTACATTTTTTTGGCTACAAGGAACTTCAAGAAGCCACCTGGTTTTTACTTTTATCTCCAAGCATGGAATGACAGAGTAAGCCCAGAAGCTAGCAGAAACAACACAGGTCTCTGTCTTTTAAGTATTTGATGAAGATACTTGAATATCCATGTAAACGTTAAAAAATATAAAAAGCTCATTCTCAGGTAAAATACTACTTAAACCCGACTATTAAGTTACCATATGCTAATTAATTTACAAAGTAACAATGAGAAATGTCCAGTTTGTCCTCATCACTACAGTTCCATAATCTCATCCCTAATCTGAATTTCCTTCATTTATCAGATTTGTTGTGTTACAATTTGTTTAAACTATGCTGAACTCCACAGCTGAAGAAACAAAACAGCTTTCCATTTTAAAATATCACTTTCTACTTAATATTACTCAACACAAATATAAGACTGCACAGTCACCTTGCAGTCAGGTGTTCTTTTTCTATCAGGGCACAAAACAGGTAAGCATTCTTTACAACTCCAAGGAGGGCTTTCAGACCCAGGCTCATTCAGAAGGTCTCCTGTTCTAGGAGGACACTCCAAAAATCAAATAATAGAAATATTCAACAATAGCACCCTCTCTCTTTTAGAAGCTACTCTTAGGAATCTATTTTTGTGCAGAAGCCTGTACACTTCAGGAGAATTGCTAAATTGTGCACATAGTAAGCATCATTCACAAATTGACCTCTAAATACTGCAGGACTTACAACTTGCTGTATTTTCTGTGGTCTAAGAATCCATGCCAAATTAAGGAGCACAGCTATATATTAGTTCGAGGAGTCTTTTTATTTTTACTTCATTGTCAATAATCATGTACATTACAAAAGCATTTAGGGACTTGTGGGGAGCCTTGGGAGTACAGAGAAGTATGGCACTGTGTTTGTCCCAGGCATGCTAAAAATGCTTGGGGTACACAGGTTTAAAAGGTTAAGCTTTAAGGTTCTATGCTCTCCAAAAAGACAACATACACTCAAAAAGAATTTAGAAAAGGAAGTAATAATAGGGGTTGAAATCTAGAGAGGTTTCTGAAGGGAGATTCAGCCCTAAAAGCAGAGTGAAAGATAAACAGAGAATAAGATTCTCTGACATTGTAGAAAGAAAAAAGAAATTAAGGCTATGAGCTTCTCCCTCCTGGAAATAAAGGCATCCTTCTCTAAAATAACATGGGGGAAATAAATAAAAACAAGGAAAAAAAAGAGCATTCTGGGTCCTAGGAAAAAGAAAGTGATAACTAATGGTACAAAATCAAATGGCTACTGAGGTTATTTGGTATAATTTGCAAAGTACAGGAATGATGATAGAAATTCATTTATTAAAAAGTTTTATTCCTCCTGACAAGTCCCAACAAAGGGAGAAATTACCTAACCGTCAAATATAACTGTATCAGGATTTCTATGAAATTATACTTTCACAGTCCAGAGATTCTCAGTCCACTTAAGATTTATCTAAGAACTTCACCTCTTTTCAGCATTATATACAAATATTAAGTAATTCCTACTTGTGCTTGGTTTTTCCATAGGTAAAATAAAACTAATACTCACTGGGTTTTCCAAAGGCTTCTTCCTAAAATCTTCAGAATTAGACATGTTGGGCTACTTAGCCTCTAGAAGGCAAGTCTATGCACTGAAAGGTGAGTATAGGGGAAACAGGAGTTGAGCTCTGTCATTTTCCAATTTCCAACAAAGATTTAAAAGCTGAAAACAAAAGGAAAATCAAACTGCCAAGATTTATTTCTCTTTCACAGAAAATACAATACATATTTAATGTAAACACTGATACATGAAATAAAGTACAAGAATCAGAAAGACAAATGAACTGGATAATACTCTGCTTTAACATTGTACTGCTTCCTGATTTCATTTTCAGCATAAATCATATGGTTACATAGATTGGAAAACTTAAAGACAACATTCAGCTTTAAGGATATACCAGAGAGCATCTGAACTCCCAATAATGCCAAACAGAAGTTTGATCTTTCTGTTGAAAAACAAAAAATTAAAGCTGAGCACATGTCCATTTATGCATTAACTGAAGGCATTTAATGTAGGAGCATAAGAATGGATTAACACATGAGCTTTTTCTATGTCTGTGGAGGCAAAGATTTAATTTGTTTCTTCTCCCTCTCTATAGAAAATAAAATTAACCAAATTAAAAGCAGAGCTGCCTGGTATTGGCCAGATGAGTGTACAATCACAGTAAATTTGGGGGTGGGTACCATGGATCAAACTTGGGTCCTTGTGCTTGCAAGGCAACACAGTAAAATTCTTTCTTTTTGGTACCAGGGATCGAACTCAGGTTCTTGTACTTGCCAGGCAGGTGGTGGAACCACTAAGCTAAATCCTTGGTCCAGGAAATTCTTATTTCAATAAATCCCAGGAAATGTGAAACACAATAAAGGACTGCCATTGGTGAAATGGCCAGCCTGTGTCTCATGCTGCGGCATCACACAGGGTTTTCAAACCTTTTTTTTCTCTTTTTGATACAGGGTCTCGCTATGTAGTTCAGGCTGGCCTCGAAATCACGGTGATCCCCCTGCTTCAGCCCTCCAAGTGCTGGGATTACAGGTATGCACCACCACGCCCGGCATCAAACTTCTTTCCCAGAACATCAAACAAGGAAAAAATTGGCCTAAATGAGTGGCTGGGATCAAGAACCACCTTAATTTAAAACAATGAGTCTGCTTCTAAACTTGAATTCAGTAATAAAGAATATAGGCTGCAATTTTCTATGATTATCCCAAGAGATTAAAATGACCTGTCTTCTTTTTTATCAGACAACATCTACCAACTGAGAAGTAAATTTTGATAATAGATGCCTGCCGTACAGACTGGTTAATAATGGTATTTGATGTCACAAGACTTGTGTTCAGATAAGGCTTTAGAGTTGGATATCAAGAATCCTAGCTGGGGATTTAGCTCAGTGGTGCAGCTGCCTGCCTGGCAAGCACAAGGTCCTGATACCAAAAAAAAAGAATCCTAGATTTGCCAAGTGTACCTACTTCTTCACTAATCCCATAATTGAAGGGTATTCTCAATCATCTTTAGTCCTTAATTTTTCAAAACCCCACAGACTATGGAGTAATAAGTACCATATGTACTTACAGTGAGCAAAATAAGTCATGCTGAATATTGATTCTTTGGGGGAAAAAAGCTAGTCTGACCAGGTGTTTTGAAACTCATTTTCACATGCAATGCTAACCTCCCAGTACTGCTAAGAGATGGAAATTTTTTTACTGTGTTTATAAACTGTCACATGAAAAACACCTTCACAATAAAAACCAGATTTTTATACTGCTTACCCGGAGCACTCGGCACAGTATTTTGCAATTTATTGTGTTCACTAAAGAGATACAAAGAACAAAGAAAACCAAACTGAGGTTTTCGAAGCAACAGGAACTGATATGCCCAAGGAAGCCCTATATCAATCCTGACTTTTTTATGCTATGACTAAGTTCTTGCTCTGGAGGCTTTTAAAATTTTTTTTCTCAACCAAGATGATAACACAGATCAGCATCTCACTACTGTGTGTGTGCACTTGCACACATGTGTTTGCTAGGTATCAAACCCAGGGACTCATGAATGCTGAGCACACACTCTACCACTAGCAACACTTCCAGTCCTGAAGCAGTCTGATTAGACAAATGCCACCCTCCACTGACCTCCATTACTGGACTCATTTATCCTGGCAAGAAGCAGAGGATTTGGGCTGCTGTGGGTGACAGTGTGGTATTACTGTAAGAAAGGCAAGATGCTTCCCTTACAGTGCTCTGCCCTGTAATAAGATTATATACGCACTATTTGCTTTGGAAAACAGTAACCAAGTAGTATCAAAAATTAAAAGCTAGAGATTTTTTTAAATGGGGCTCCAGTTTATTTTGCAGTTATTATTCTATACTGTGTGGACCTATCACAGTTCCTTCTTACAGAGGATCCCAAAGAGTGTTTATATGGTAACTACCCATTTGTCCTATTATCACTTCTCTTCCTCTCTTGGGATCAGTTTCTATTGGAAAGGCCTTCTCTTTGAAAGATAAAAGATGGAAAATTCTGAAAAATAGATCCATTCTATTTTCAGATACTAAAAATAGTTAACGCTTAAGGAAATAAGGCACCTATAAAGTAATCCTAGAGGAATGATAGGGATAGTACAGATAGTGGGATCCTCTGTAGCTGCAAAGAAACATGACTTCCAAAGTAAGTAGTACTCTCCTGTCATAGGACTGATTATATCATTCAGGACTTCTGTGATGGCCTACTTTTTTTATTTTCCAGTACTGGGGATCGAACTCAGGACCTTGTATTTGCGAGACAGGTGGCAGAAGCACTGAGTAAATCCCTGGCCCATGCAATGGACTTATACACAGGAAGATCTGAGGCTCCAAAGAACTCAAAGAAATGTAGATAAAGTTCTTTTTAAAATAGAAAGTTACGGGCCGGGGATTTAGCTCAGCAGTCGGTGGCCTGCCTTGCAAGCACAAGGACCTGAGTTCAATCCCCAGTACCAAAAATATAAATAAATAAAAATAAAATAAAATAGAAAGTTACATATCAGTCAGATCTCTGGTCAACTTCATCATCCTTTCAAGCTAGATGAGAAGCTAAGCCACCTAGGTTCAGGTCCTAGCTCTTCTACAGTCTGTGTGACCTTTCCCTCTTCTCTTTAGTTTGTTTCCTTATCTGTAAAATAAGGATAAAATCACCTGTTGTCTACCTTACATTGTTATTGTGAGGATCAAAGAGATGTTGAAAGTGCCTTGTAAACTGTGAACTACTGTAAATAAAGGTAAAGTAATAGTATATGCTTATTATATTTTAATTGAGTCCTTCTCATTGCTTATTTGACTAGAAGTACCCCATGAAGCATGTGCCTTGAAACAGACAGAACTGAAAAACAGGCTATAAATATACACTGTTCCTTTTCACTGGGACTGTTCAAAAAAATGAAATTCTTAATTTCCTCAGAAATGGCCTAAGAATACGTTATTTGAAAATGTGATGTCATCCACATCTACCAACTAGTAGAATTAATTTTTCTAAGAATGCCCCACTACATGTTTGTCAGTTGAAACTTTTATACAGAAGAGTCAGGAACTCAAGATACAGCATGCTAAACTTAAAAACATAAAATAGACATATAGTTGGTTCTGAAGGAAATAAAATGGAAATTAAAGGCATCATATATACTAAAATTAGGTCACAGTTTTTCAAATGCTTGCCTTTTTCCTGAGATAGCTCCAGGACAGGGTCCTGGTCCTGTGAAGTGATTTACAGAGCTTAGATTTACTGGAGGTGAAAAAGGACATGTTGTTAGCAACAAAGCTGTGCTCATTTTCAACACTAGGATTTGAGCAATAAGGTCTGTCAGGAGCTGCGAAACAGCTTTGGTGGAGAAGCCCATGTGGTCCAAGCGAGGCTTGCTAGTTCTCAGAGGCCAAACCACAGTTTGGACAGTAGCTTAACACAGCCATCCAGTCCAGGAATTTTCAAATCTTCTTGTAAGTTGGTTCTGTTCTTCTTCGGTCTAATAAATAATTGAACAGAAGAAAAACAATGAGCTGTCCAGCAATGTATCTATCTGCTTTAGAGCCTTTTCTGCCTATCGGTAGTTTTCATGCAGAAAAGAGACACAGAAATCAATGTAACTTTTACTAGACTTTGAAAGAAATATTTCAATTAGCCCAATCACCCAGACTGCTCTATTCATGTCAGATGACCTTTATTAAAAATATTACAAGTGATGACTTGGAGGGAGTCAGGTCAGTGGAACTGCTAGTTAACAAGATGGCTGTCCTTTGAGGCCATGAGCATGTCGCTAACCTCCACTTTTCTTCCTGAGTTGCTTTGCTTTCCGGGGTTTGAAGATGGTATAGTTTGCATACACTGTATACTGATCAGACAGGAAGGGGACATAAAATGCCCGAAGCAGCTTTGAAGATCTGAAAAACAAGAGGAGTGGGAAAGAATGTTAGTATTTGGGAGAACATACCAACAGAAATAACACTAAGTCTGGTGAAGATTGTTTTATGAAAGTAGCATATAAATGTCTGCTATTTAGGGACAGGGATGTAGCACAGTGGCACTGCGACTGCCTGCCAAGTGCAAGGTCCTGAGTTTGATCCCTGGTACCAAAAAAATAAATAAATAAATAAATAAATAAATAAAAATAAAATTTTAAAAAATTCTGCTATTTAGGTACTAGATTGTTATAGAAGACTTAAGACCAAGTTCCCCATGTCAAAACAAAAAACAAAGTCTCCCTAATGAGCCAGAGCACATCCTTCAAAATAGCTCTAGGTCTTCATTTTGCACAAGAATGTGCCATAGAAAAGTCCTAGGTCAGTGAAAGGAATTCTATTATTTTTTAAGTACTGGGATTGGAGCAGGCCTTGCACATGCTATGGGAATGCTGTACCACTGAGCTATAGCCCATCCTCTTAATTTTAAGACAGGGTCTCCAGGGCTGGGGATGTAGCTTAGTGGTACAGTGCCTGCCTGGCAAGCATGAGGCCCTGAATTCAAGTCCCAGTACAAAAAAAAAATTGACAAAGTCTCCCTAAGTTGTCTAGGCAGAGATGAATTCTTTTTTTTGTTGTTGTTGTTGTACCGCGGATGGAACTTGGGTCCCTGTGCTTGCCAGACAGGCGGCAGAACCACAGAGCTAAATCCCCGGCCAGAGATGAATTCTTAACACTGAATTGGTTTCTACATCTGAGAAACTGTAGAGATGTCACATACTTAAATGACCTTGACTCCAGGTCTAAATTTTCCTAAACAGGCAAAGAAAACCAAGTCCTGGGTGCCTGTGCATAGTATTCCACTGATTCCCAAGTCAGAGAGAGTCAACACACAAATTGTTGTGACAACTTGTCCCTGGCAAATTCTATATACTCATTACTGAAGTAAGAGAATAACTGCAAACATAAATTTCTCATGAGTTTCTAAATATAAGTGCTTTTGCTTTTAAATATATTATTTAATCCATCTGATAATCATACAGGGAAAATGACATTATTATCCTAGGTTTTGTTGTTGTTGGTTTTTTGAGATAAGGTCTACGTAGTCGAGGCTGGCCTTAAACTCACTACGTAACCCAGGCTAACCTCAAACTTGCAGTGATCCTCCTGCCACCCCCTCCTGAGTGCTGGGATTATAGGTGAGCACCACCACACTGGGCTTTTTCCAGTTCTATAGATAGGAAACTGCAGCATAAAATTAGTCAAACAGATTAAGCAACTTGGTCAGAGGCACAGAGTTAATGAAAAGAGCTTCGTTCAAACCCAAGTTTTATTTTAGAGTCTGTATGCTTTATCATTATGGTTTATTCCTGCACCCCAGGCATGGGCTAAAAGGATTTATCATTTCCCAGGAAAATTTGTAGTGATAGCTTCAAATTCCACATGAAGTACTGTTTCCTGACTATCATTTCTGAGTTTGAAAATCAAAAGTTGGCCCAGTTATTGCTACACAAAATGAGACAGCTGAGGGGAGTTCTAGTGCCAGTCCTTCTCCGAATTCTAAACTTGTAAATGTCATGTCAACATGGCATTTGTACTGGCAGCTCACATCTGAGTTTGGCAAACTCCTGTAATGCCTGTACACAATGATAACATGCTTGGCAAACACACCGCTTAGAGATCCTTCCCAACTGAGATGCTGGCAGTGCCCTATGCTCAACAGAGATGCACTTCACTTCAACAGCTAACTGCTCAAGGGCTCTGATAGAGAAAAGAGGCTTAGAGGAGAACACACAGAGATAAAGCAGGGCTCCTGCAAACAGAATGAACAAGTAGAGGAAGTGCTTGCCTCACACAACAAGAAACTAAATTATTTTTTTTGGTCACACTGTACAGATAAGGTGATGGCTGGAACAGAAAGATGTAAGCTGGATCAAACTCCTACAGCTGAAGTATCACTCCTATTAAAAGCTTCATTAATACAGTCATTATAGGGCAGGGGATTTAGCTCAGTGGTGCTGCACTTGCCTCTCAAGCACAAGGTCCTGAGTTCAATCCCTGGTACCAATATATATATTCTTTTAAAGAAGTGTGTACTCTTTCTCTCTCTCTGTTGTCATCTTCTTTCAGGGGCTCTCTTACAATGGTTGTTCTGGTTTCATGGCTCTGTCATAACTTGTAAATCTTCTTACTAGCACATACTGGACAAAGGCTTTATACATTTAATTTATTTAAATCTCACAACAGTTCTAGGACGGATGTGATACTATTATCTTCATTTTACAGATTAGGGCAGAGAGATTTTTTTTCTTTATCTTTGGGGCAGTTCTTTACTATATGACAAGTATTCTAATTTATAATTTTCTTTTCAGATTCTTCTAAAGAACAAAGAAAAATTATACTACTTTTAAAAATAAAATAAGGCCATTCTAGTAATTATCACATGGATTCATACACTTTTTTCTATAAATCTAAGCTACATTATAGGATATTGCTAGTCTCACTTTTTTCTGGGTCTTCTTGGTGTTTTCACTTTTATAGACTTCGAATGTAGGGCCTCACGCATGCTACTAGGGAACACATTTTTATGTATCCTGAACTATTTACAATTATGTTTTCTAAAAAAAGACTAAAATAATTTTTAAAATGATGAAATCACTGAAAGTATAATGTAATAGTGAAATCAAACATCCTTATTGCATTATCTTTCAATTTTCTTGCTGTACACCCCAAAGCTCTGCATCATCATTTAATATGGTACAAATGATTGAAGCACTGTATCTATAGCCTACTCTTGGCTTTTGTTCAACAGAGTTCAGAATACAGAAGCTTTTTAAAAATTTCTATCTATGATAGCAACTAAAAGAAATGCAACAGAGCAAGATATTTTTTCTTTCTTTTTATTGAGGTTATTGGTACAATCTAGGTATACAATACAATTACATTCATCATTGGGATTCTGTACCTTTACCTAATAGGTCTTGATTCTCATTTTTCCCCTTGTCCCTGCCCTCCCTTCACCCCCTCCTCCCCTCCCCATTTACAAACACTTTATTTCCATTTTTTCAGTTTTTCATATTTTTTTCCTCTCCCTTATTACCTCTCCCCCACCCTTCCCACTTTCCTTACACCTTTAACCCTTTACTTCCTATTTCACATTATTAATTGTCTCATTAGGATCCTGTGTACTATTATAGTTTTTCACACCAAAGAAACTATTCGGTATTTCAGTTAAAGAAATCTCTGTATGAACATAAAAAATAGGGAATCCTAAAATAAAACTAAAAAGGAAA